TTAGTCCAGGCAGACCCTGAACTTGAGATTCTCTGGCCTCAGCCTGTGATTACAGGACTGTACTACCTGTGACCTTGTTAAATTTTTGTTTAGTCTCATATAGTCCAGGCTGGCCTTAAAACTTGCTTAGCTGAGGATGGCCTTGAATGCCTGATCCACCCCCCACCCTCAGTGCCAGAATTACAGTCACAGGCAGGTACCATGCTCTGTTTCCTTCTTAAGCTTAACTTTAATAATTTCCTTACACTTTGGGGTCCATATGCAGGCCAGAGGTTAGCAAACTACGGCTTGCAGACCAAATCTAACTCACTTGCCATCAGTTCTTACCAATCAGAGTAACGAGTGACGTATTTTTAATGGACAGGAAGACAGTTAACTCAAGCTTGTAATTCCAGCACTTGGGAGACAGAGGCAGGCAGATCTTTGGGTTTGAGGCCAACCTGATCTACACAGTGAATTACAGGACAGTTAGAGGGCTACATAGACTCTGTCTCGAAGGAAAAACAACAAAAAACTAGGAATAGAACTCAACTGTAGGGTGTTTGCTTAGCATGTATAAAATGCTGTGTTCAATACCCAGTACTAAAAAAATAATGTATTTCAAGCTGGTGATGTTTAGCCCAGTATTAGAATGTTTGCCGAGCATGTACAAGATCCCTGGTTCAAGCCGGGCGGTGGGGACACATACTTAATCCCAGCATTTGGGAGGCAGAGCCAAGCAGATCTCTTGAGTCTGAGGCCAGCCTGGTCTACAGAGTGAATTCCAGGACAGCCAGGGCTACACAGAGAAACCCTGTCTCGGAAAACCAAACAAACCAAAAAGTCCCTGGTCTTCAGGAAGCTCTGAGTCTGGAAGAAAAGAACTTCACTGGTGTTGGGACTGTTGACTTCCACCTGGTGTGGCTGCTGTGGTCTTCCTGGGAGATGAACAGGTTTGGTAGAATCTTCCAGAGGGACTGGGAACTTCCAGTTATTTCAGAAAACAGCACCTGCCCTTCCTCTGGAAGTGGGGATCCAGGCTGTGCTGAAGGCCCAACCAAGTGGATTTAGTTCAGCAGTGGAAAGAGCTTCCCTAGTCCCTCAGTTTAATTTCCTGCACCAAAAAAAAAAAAAAAAAAAAAAGTGGTTTTTGTTTTCTCCGGGGTCTCATCATGCAGCCAGACTCACTAGGTACCTGATGAGCATCCTGATCCTGCTTTCACTGCCCATGGGCTTGGGTCATCCGTGAGGGTGGTGGTTTGTTTTAATGTTAATCCTACTTGATGTGTATGGGTGTTTTCATCTGCATGTATGTCTGTGTGCCACTTGTATTCCTGGTGCCCTCAGAGGCTAGAAGAGGGTATTGGATCCCCTAGAACTGGAGTTACATATGTGGGTGCTGGGAATTGAACCTGGCTCCTATGGAAGAGCAGAGAGTGCTCTTAACTGTTGAGCCATCTCTCCAGGTCCCAAAATTCCATTTCAAACAGTACATTATGCCTAGAAATTCAATGTCCACTTGGTAACATAGCAAGACCTTAAAAAAAAATTCACATTTCGGCATCCTTAAGTAGCTTTATTGAAGCTGGGTACAGTGGTGGACATCTTTAATCCCAGCACTTGGGAGGCAGAGGCAGGGGGATCTCTGAATTTGAGAACAGTTCCAGGACAGCTAGGACTACACAGAAAAAACTTGTCTCAAAACAAAAAAAAACCCAATGTGTGTGTATGCATAATACAGACATATATCTTTATTAAACGTAGCCTCATTGACGTACATGTTGTCTTCACAGTACTACAGCAGCAGAGTTGAAAGAAGTTTTGACACAGTCTTACAGCCCAAGTAGATTTCAGACTTGCAGTGTAGCCAAGGCTGGCCCTGAGCCTCCGACCCCCCTTCCTCTACTTCTTGAATGCTGCAATTATAGGTTTATGCCACTACATACAGCAAAAGCAGAACAACCTGAATTTTTGCCAGTGATCACAGAACAAATTTTTTTTTTTTTTTTTTTTTTTGGTTTTGGTTTTTGGTTTTTCGAGACAGGGTTTCTCTGTGTAGCTTTGCGCCTTTCCTGGGACTCACTTGGTAGCCCAGGCTGGCCTCGAACTCACAGAGATCCGCCGGCCTCTGCCTCCCGAGTGCTGGGATTAAAGGCGTGCGCCACCACCGCCCGGCCACAGAACAAATTTTTATACAACCTGGGTATGTATATAAGTATATAAAAAGTAATACAAGGTAAACATTTACTGATTAATCATAATTTTTTGAAACAGTTCTTTGGTATACACATAATTTTACAGCTTATAAAGATGAAGGCAGTCTTACATACTAATGTTATGCTGGAGAGATTGCTCAGGCCTTCAGAGCACATACTGCTGTAGTTGAGACCCTGCATTTAGTTCTGAGCACCACAATGGGCAGCTCATAACCGCCTCTAACTACTTTAGGGGATGTGACACCCTCTCTGGCCTCTGAAAGTAACTGTACTCATGCATACATACACAAATGCTTTTCGTGGGAGGTGGAGGCAAGGTCTCCTTATATAGACCAAGCTGTCCTTGAACTTACTATGTAGACCATGGTGGCCCTGAACTCTCAGAGATCTGTCTCTGCCTCCTATGTTCTGGGATTAAAGGCATACACCACTACACTTGGCAAAATTCATTTAATTAAAAAACAACATTTTATGTGGCTGGAGAGATGGCTCCGTAGTTAGAGCATTTGCTGCCCTGGCAGAGGATCCAGGTCGAGTTCCCAGCACGCACACGCATAACTTTCTGTAACTCCAGGTTCAGGGGATCCTATGCCCTCCTGTCCTCCACAGACATTGCATCCACATGGTGCACACAGATACATAAATGCAGGCAAATCACCCACACACAGAATTTTTAAATTCATACGTATGTGGGTTTGTGTCTGTTGTGTGTGTGACAGAGAAAGAGAGTAAGTTTATATGTGTTAGTGTCCACAGAGATCACATGCATTGTATCTTCTGGAGCTGAAGTCACATGTGGTTGTGAGATGTTTGACATGTGTGTTTGGAAACTGAACTTGGGACCTTTATAAGGGCCATATATGCTCTTAACTGCTGAGCCATCTCTCCAAACCCCTCAAATGATAGTTTTAAAAACTGAATATTCTGCTGGGTAGTGGTGGCCCATACCCTTAATCCCAGCACTTGGGAGGCATTGGCAGGTGCTTAGGGTCTTGGGGAAGAGCAGACAGTGCTGTTAACCCCTGAGCCATCTCTCCAGCCCTGAAAAAAGTTTCCTAATAAGGCCTGTCCTGTTTCTTCCAGCTACCATGGTCGTTTTGTGCTTCCAACAATTTTGTATTTCCATCATAATAGTTGGTCTTTTTTCTTTTGGGGTGTGGTAGTAGTGGTAGTGCCATGGACTGAACCCAGGTTTCACCCATGCTAGGCAAGTACTCTACACCACTGAGCTACATCCCAGAGGCAGGATCTCTCTCTTAAAGCCCTGATATACAAACCAGACTGGCCTAGAATTCAGAGGTCCACCTGCCTCTGCCCCCCACCTGCCTCTGCCCCTGGACAAATGTTGGGATTAAAGACATGGAGCCATGACCCCCAGCTCTTTTTAAATTTTGAGGGAGCTGGAGAGATGGTTCAGCAGTTAGAGCACTGGGTGCTCTTCTCAAAAAACCAGGTTCTATTCCAAGAACCTACATGGTTCACAACTCCAGCTCTAGAGGAACTCCTGCCCTCTTTTGACCTCCATGTGGGCATCAGGCACACACGGGGTATACATACTGGCAAAATACCAAACCTCAGAAAAAAATTAAAAATTGAAATTTTGAAGCAGGGAAGTTGCCCAGATTGTCTTCAAACAATATGCAGCCCAGATTGGCCTGAAGGTTGCCCCAGCTTCCTCAGCTGAGATTGCAAGCCTGTGCCACTATGCTGAATCATTTTCTTTTCCCTGATGGGTGGTAAGATTCTCAGAATCGTAGTATTTCAGTTACCTGGCACTTGGGAAACGGGATCAGGACCACACGGTCAACATCACCTAAGAGTCTGGGCTAAGTGATACCAACAGCATTAAACAAAACGAAAAAGCCTGTAGTCCCAGCACATCAGGATTGCCCTAGATTTGAAGCCAGTCTGTACTGCATAGTGAGTTTAGGCCAGCCTGAACTACAGGAAGACAACACACGAACAAGTTTCTATCTATTTATATCCCCGTTCGCCGTACTGAGCCTAACGCCCCCATTTTGCAGCTCTGAACAGTTTTCATTGCACGGCACAGATAATACTTCATTTGGCTCCCCTTCAAGCTACCGCTCTTCCCAAACGTTTTGCACTTTGCTGAAACCTGTTGTCTACCTCTGCCCTGACCTGCCCATTTTTGACCAGCAAATAACTGCTCTTGGCTACTACCCTCACGAGACCTTATCCAGGGCATGACACAAGGATTTTAAATAGGCCCGCGGCCTCCTCATCTGAACTCACACGCATGGGGGCAGTGAAGGTCTAGACACCCTCCCGGCCTCACCTAGGGAAAGGAAGGCCCGCCCCAAAGGTAAATCCGCGCCAGCGCCTCCTCTGTCCGGGACAGGGTCCACCATGTGGACACGGCGCGGGGGTCCAGGCTCTAAGCACGAAGCCGCCGTTTTCCCACCCACTGCACCGGTTACAGCCAAGGTGTGGCGGCCGGTGCCACACGACTGTAATCTCAACACTCGGAGGCGGTAGAACCGCCGCGGGTTCGAGGCCAGCCTCTGGGGCTCGAGTGCGAGCCCCGTTCTCAAACAAACATGTCCACCGAGACGTCTTTCCGGAGACTTTGTCTCCTCGGGGCCCCGGTTTCCACCACTTGGCCGGCCAAGGTCTCCCGCGGCCCGGCCGTTTCCCGGGGAGAGCGCCCGGCGCGCGTGCTCGGGCGGTTGGCGGCCAACGGTCTGCTAACGCGAGAGGGGAGCACGGGAAGACGGCGCGAACAGGGCGGGCGGCTGGCGGGCGGGGCGGGCGGCTGGCGGGCGGGGCGGGCGGGCTCGGGAAGCATCGCGAAGGAGCCGGCAGGCCCCGCCCTTTCCGTAGAGATCTCTAGAAAGCCGCGCGGGAGCCCGAAAACACAGACTGCGCAGGCGCGGCGGCGGGGCCCGGGCATTTTGCTGCGTCACCAGCCGCCGCCCGGCCTCGCCAGCCCTCGCACGCACGCACGCACGCTCCTTCCTTCTCCGTCCTCGCGCCCCTCGGCCTCCGCTTCCCTCCGCTCCCGGGCTGAGGGAGCCGCTCTGCGCGCGGTGCATTCTGGGCATCGAGGTCGAGCCCGCCGCCGCCGCCGCTGCCGTCGCCTTCGGGGAGCGAGAAGAGGCCGCGACCGGGCAGAAGACGCCGGAGTCGCCGCCGCCGCCGCCGGAGAGGAGCCGCCGCGCCCGCCGCCGCCAGCGAGGCCCGCCCACCCGTTCGCCTGGCCCCCTGCCCCGTTCACCATGTGAGTGCGACATGCCGCCGCGGGCAGGTCGGCCCGGAGCGAGGCCGCGCCGGCCGGGGACCGCGGCGACCGGGAAACGGCCCTCGGCCCTCCCCCACGCGGCCCTGCGCCTCTCCCCGGCCGGCGGCGGCCCTGCCGGGCGGTGGGAGGCCCTGCGCCCCTGTTCCGGTTACCGTTGGCGGGCGGAGGACATCTTTTTTTCCTCCTCGGGCCCGTCCCCCCCGATGGGCCTGGCTGACTCGGAACTCCGCGAACTTAGCCGCGGGCGCCTGCAGCCGGGGGAGTCGCTGGGCCCCGGGGCCGAGGGCTGGCGGGCGCCCCCGGGAAGCCCTCGGGGCTGCCGATGGGGCTCCACGCGGCCCCCCGCCCGCGGCGGCGGCGGCGGCGGCGGGCACTGCTAGGCAACTAGAGGCGGCCGTGCCGTCACCACGACGAAACTTCCCGTCCCCACGTCTCCCGGGCCTCCCGGACTCGTTGCGAACTCCGTGGTCGGTCGCTTGTGCAGGGAGTAGGGGTGACTGTGGGCAGGCAGTTGTGCACGTGTCCGGTCACAGGACACTTGTGGACTTTTCCTCCACCAACTTTGCGTGGCGTTTCGTTGTGCTCCTTCCGTGTGAGGATGGAATGGGTATGGGGTGACCGCCTTACTGGCCAGAAGACCTTAAATTTGCTTATGTGGAGGTGGTTGTAGATTGTTACATCTCAGCTCTACGATAAAGGGACCTTGGTGGTTTTAACCTGTTAAGAATTTTTGGCCCTATTTTTCCAGGCCTTCCCTTCTCAGGAAAACTTTTCAGATGTGAGAACTGAATTTCCCAGTGTTTGGTGGTGGTGTGAGTGGGTGCAATGCACAACCCGAAAAGTTAGTTGTGGGTAGTGATTGAAAAGAAACCAGATTTTAACAATCGTACAGGTGTTAAGGGCTTGCTTGAATATTGTAGGACTAGAACTCTAAACGGGTGGAACATAGCCTCGAGCTAGTTGGTGGCTGAGAACAGGCCCTAGAAGAAGGCATGTAGTGCTGGAAAATAGGTAAAGAAATTTATTTATTCTTGTGTGAGTGACTGCTCCTGGAGGTGACAGGAAAACCTCTTCCATCCCATGGGAAATATATTCAAGTTGTCAGGGCAGCAGTGGGTGCCCTAACTTGTTGAACCAACTCACCAGCACCGGTTTAAATTTTATTTTCGAGGTGTTATGGATAGAACCCTATGTTAGGGGAGGGCTCTATCAACTGAGCTATATGCTAGTGCAACATTTTGGCTTAAGACAAATTGATGTAAAGCGTTTATTTCCTTTTTGATATTTAATATACCAAACAGATTGAACATCTGTAGGGAGAAAATGAATTGCTAGGTAAAACATAATCAATTTAATAGATGAACATAGTCAAACAAAACACCTTTTCATCGAAAAGTACCAATTTAGGAGCTGGAGAGGTAGTTCAGTGGTTTAACAGCACTGGCTTCTCTTGCAGAGGACCCGGTTCTATTAGCAGTACCCACATGGTGGCTACCAACCGTCCAAAACTTCAGTTTTAGGGATGTGGTCCACATATATGCAGGCAAGCATTCATGCACATAAAGTCAAAAAATACTTTATAAGCACTGTGTTTAAAATGACTTTTTGAAATATTTTCTGTAGTTAATAAGTGTAAATAATGAAAATTGCAGGTAGCATTCTTACCACCCCCCCTTTTTTTTTAAAAAAAAAAAAATTTCAGGGCTGGGGACCGAACCCAGAGCCTTGTGCTTGCTAGGCAAGTGCTCTGCCACTGAGCTAAATCCCAACCCCCCGCCATTCTTTAATTTTACCTTCAAAGGTAATGTTTTTGTTTACTCCCCCCCCCGCCCCTCGAGACAGGGTTTCTCTGTGTAGCCCAGGCTGGCCTCAAACTTACAGAGAGCTGCCTGCCTCTGCCTCTCAAGTGCTGGGATTAAAGGCATGTGCTACTTCCGCCCAGCACAAATTTTTCCTTTTAAGATTTTGTTTTTATTGGGACCGGAGAGGTGGCTCGGATTGAGTGGGTGCTGTTCTTGGAGAGGACCTGGGTTCAGCTCCTATCACCCACGTGGTGGCTCACAATCATCTGTAACTCCAGGTTCAGGGGACCCAGTGCCCTTTTCTGACCTCTGTGAGCACCAGGCAATCATGTGGCACATATATATATTTACATGTAGTCAATACACTAGTACAAATGAGAATATATATATAATTTATTTATTTATTTATTTTTATTTTTTTTTTTTTTTTTTGAGGCAGGGTTTCTCTGTGTAGTTTTGGTGCCTGTCCTGGATCTCGCTCTGTAGACCAGACTGGTCTCGAACTCACAGAGATCTGCCTGGCTCTGCCTCCCGAGTGCTGGGATTAAAGGTGTGCGCCACCACCTGGCAAAAATAAATATTTTAAAAATTATATTGTTTTTAATTATGTCTTTATGGATATGTACATTCTAATGCAGGTTCCTGCAGAGGTGTTAAGATCTGAATAGAGGCAGTTATGAGCCACCCAACCTGGTATGTGGGTGGTACCACCTGCTTGCAGCACTTCCAAAGGCCGGAATAGAGTGTTGGGTTGCCTGGAACTAGGTGGAGTTACAGATGGTTGTGAACCACCATATAGCTGTTGAGGGAGGATAGGCCCGAGGCCTCTGGAAAAGCACCCAGTGCTCTTAACCATTGAGCTGTCTTTCCAACCTCTATTAATTTGGTTTTTTGAGACAAGGTCTCACTATGTAGAGCTGGCTGGCCTGGGACTCACAGAGATCCACCTGCCTCTGCCTGCCCTAGTGCTCAGGTTAAAGGCGTGGACCACCATGCCTGGCCCTATTAACTTTTTTTTATAAGGTTTTTTTTTTTTTTTTTTTTTTTTTTGGTTTTTCGAGACAGGGTTTCTCTGTGTAGCTTTGCGCCTTTCCTGGAACTCGCTTTGGAGACCAGGCTGGCCTCGAACTCACAGAGATCCGCCTGGCTCTGCCTCCCGAGTGCTGGGATTAAAGGCGTGCGCCACCACCGCCCGGCTATAAGGTTTTTTTTGAGTTGGGTCAGTGAGGCCCTAGGTGGTCTACAGTCCACTACATATGGGGCTACCCTTGAATGCTTAATCTTTCTTCTGCCTCTACCTCCCAAGTACTGAAATTAGAGGTGGTACACACCATTAAGATAAAGGCCAGCCAGGCCTACATAGTAAGGCTCATGTGCGCACATAACTTTTATATTTTGTTTATTTATTATTTGGTTTTGGTTTTTTGTTTCTTTGTTTTCTAAGACAAGGTTTCTCTGTGTAGCCCTGACTGTCCTGAACTCCCTGTAGACCAGACTGGCCTCGAACTCAGGGATCTGACTGTCTCTGCTTCCAAGTTCTGGGATTAAGGGGTCTGCTACCTCACCTGGCTACACACTTTATTTATTTATTTGTTTGTTTGTTTGTTTATTTGTTTATTTATTTATTTTAAACTTGAACCATTATGCACACTTTGAATCAATCACATGCCTGATGCTGTTTTCAATGCTCAGTATATGGGGGTAGAGAGATGGCTGGTAGAAGAGCTGCCGCTGCTCTTCGAGAGGATCTGGGTTCAATTCTCAGACCCCCACATGGTGGCTGATGTAATCCAGCACCCTCTTTGGACCTCTCTGGGCCCTCTGGCCTCCAGTACCAGGGATTTTAGCAATGTCCTTACGTACATGTAGTCAACACACACATAAAATAAATATGAACAACTCCTTAGAAGATAAAAATGTTCAATATATACCATTTTGTAAACATCAAGGCATTTATGTGACTAATGACTTAGAATTCTAAAGTGAAAATTTAAAAAAAATCTGGCTGATGGTGTACTTTGTTGATGTCTCTTGTAAATAGACTTATTCTTTGAGACAGGGTCTCACTGTATAGCCCTGGCTGTTCTGGAACTGTAGACCAGGCTGGCCTTCAGCTCCCCAGTGCTGGGATTAAAGTTATACACCTATTTATTTACTAAACAAATAAATATTTATATACTTTGCAGAACTCCCAAAATAAAATCTTCAGCCTTCCGAACTTAAACAATGAGCATGTCCTATGTAAGTGTCTCGTAAGTTTGAAAAGAGCAACTGATGGCCTTTGTTCAATGTTGATTTCCTAACCACTGTAACCTGGCAACTGATTTTTTTTTCCTTTTGTTCATGTTGAGTTAGACTTTTAACTCGAAGGCATAGAAACAAAGTGACAAAAAATGCTGGATTGTAGGTTACTCCTATTGCTAATTTAACATTGCTTTGCTAAACTGCATTTTCTGTTTAAAAGTTTAGAACCCTGAAAATCATTTGGGGGTCTTAAATAGTTACTGGTTATCCTTGCCCCCTCCGGAAAACTCTAGAGCACATTGTGGGGCTTTAGGGTTTTTTTAGTTGGGTCTCACTACGTGTGCCAGGCTGACGTGGAACTTGTGACCCTCCTTCCACCACCAAGTGTGAGATGACAAGCATGTCCCACCATACCCAGCTCTGTAAATTCTTTTTATTTATTATTTTTTTTGGGGGGGGGGGTTTCGAGATAGAGTTTCTCAGTGTAGTTTTGTGCCTTTCCTGGAACTCATTTGGTAGCCCAGGCTGGCCTCAAACTCAAAGAGATCCGCCTGGCTCTGCCTCCTGAGTGCTGGGATTAAAGGCGTGCGCCACCACCACCCACCTGTAAATTCTTAAATGTAGAATTGTGTATTATCTTTTGCTATCAAGATAGAAAGAACCTAGGGCTTCATTCACCCATGCTTGGCAAAGCACTTCCAGTGACCTATACCCCCAGCCCTGTTGGTTATTGTATGAATTGATGGGGGTTTTTGTTTGTTTTTTGTTTTTTGAGGCAGTGGCAGCAGGTTGGATGGGTCTATGTAGACCATACTAGCCTTGAACTCACAGAGATCCCCCAGCTCTGCCTTCTGAATGCTGGGATTAAAGCTGTGTGCCACCACTGGTCCAGCCCCCTCTTTAAATTAAATCACAGGAACTACTGGAAATTCA